AGGTTAAAGCAGGACACTTACTGGAAGCATCTGAATAAAATCAAAACCATTAGCCTCAAAGATGGATAAAAATATGTCCAAATGTATTTTAATGCAAAATTTTAAACACTCCATGTCCAAATGTAATATAACAACTTACACATTACTGGAACATAAAGAAAACCTGCATAAATATGGAGAATCATTTTGTGTTTTGACAAATACAAAACTACATCAGCAGTCAAGCGCATGCTTTGGCTTTTCAGTTGATATAGGTAGTGTTATGGTTGTTAAAGGTAGCTTTTCAGCTCTTACTAGTAAAACGTATAGAATCCTTTAGATTAATTTAAATTTTACTATATTGTATTATAGTTTATTTTTTTATTGTATATAGTTTATTTTTACTCGCATATGCAGCAGGTGACATTGATGATAGCTGTGCCTACTGTAGCATGAAATTCATTAGGACAAAGTATGGCAAAACAATGTAAACAACAGAGTAAACAACAGTAAAGTTTTTTGCAATGTCTTTGGTAGAAAAAGCTAAAAACTTTATTTTAATATAACATTATCATCTTATTTTCCATTTCCCCACCTGGGCAAATCACTGTTCTCCTAGAGAGGGCGCTATAGTCTACAACACTGATGAAGCTATGGCACAGACCCTAGTCTTCGTGGGCCACATCTCTGCAGAGTTGAGCTTAAACACAACTGATTCAACTAATCAGCTAATTAATGAGTTATTGAACTCAATTATTGGTATATGGTATATGAACTCAGAGTGCTGGAAGAGAGAAAAAGCTGTTCTGCTGAGCTGTGGCCCAGAAGGAAGCCAGTCTGACATCCCTCAGCATTTTGCACAAAATCCAAAGCAGTAAATAGTATTACAGTATTTTCTATTTCATATCTACAATACTGGGCAAAAGTCTTAGGCAGCAATGAATACAGCATTAGCAGTAAGTGTGTTTTTCCCCACTAAGATTAGAATTGATACAGAGGATTCCAAAAGTCTAAGACCACATTGAAATTCTGGTATTTTTCATTTAATCTTGATTAAATAAACAACAGAAAGCTTTAAAATCTTGAAAAATTTGAAAACAAAAAAGTACAAACTCACGCAAGTTTGAGACGGTGGCCACGTTAAGCCCTTTGTACAGAAAGGTCAGATTATTTTTGTAGTCTAATTTTTTTAGATGAAACACATGTTCAGATGACTCTCGGGTAGATTTGATCTACCATACCATCTCATACCATATCATCTTGATTGCACACTGTCATTAAAGCAAAAGGGGGGCATACCAAATAATAAAAAAAATCAAAAATTCATGTAAACGTTCAGAGATTCTACTTTTCACTCAAGTTGCTCTGCTGATGATAGCATTTGTAATAAAAAACCCTTTGTATGAAATCCAAAAGAAATGCAAAATAGAAGCATTTCCACCAGCAATCTCACACTTCTTTATATAAATAAAGAGAAATATAAGAAGAATACAGTAAAAAAGTAGCAACGCTCCCTTTTTTTCAGCAAAGTTATTAATATGTTGGTTAAAAGAATGCAGCTAGAAGAACACTGGTTCAGTTTCTGACTTATTGCTGCACTCCATCCTTCACATTGATTTGTTAAATCCCATCAGCTGCTCATCTGATTTAATTTAATGAAGGATTGATTAGTTGAAGCAGGTATTGGACGGTAACTACATACACTGGGCTTCCTCAAGGAGAGCTTTGGAAAGAGTTAAGCTAATAAACACACATACTTCAAATCACAATTGAAATAGTTTCATATAGTTTCATAATCATTTTCTCAGATAGCACAGTACTATATACTTCAAACACATGTACCAAAGACAAGGCAAATGCAAGACAATTGCATAATGCTTGACAAACAACATCTAAATACCATATAAAAGCAATTACTGTCAAAAGAAAGTAACCAAACAAAGACATAGGCATGTTGATGTAATAGATTTTATTCATGTGGAAAGAACATACACATTTGAATCAAGTCAATTCAATACACCCCTTTTCTCCGTGTAACATTTATTCATAATAGCAACATCTAAGTAACATTTATTCATATTCAACACACATACAGCAACAGCCAAGCAATTCGCAGTCATTGGCTGATAAAAGCTACAAAGCACAGTGCCTCTACGCTTTAGTGTCACACTTCACCTCATGTACCACTTAACCTGAACTCACCCTAGAGGTCTTATATAATACCATGTTTGACATTTGCATCAACATGAACATTTCCATTGGGCCCATTAAGAAGGACGTCTAATGAGGATATCATCAAAAGCACAGAACAGTTTGAGCTTATTTAATAGGATATAGCATAATGTTCCTGATATTCAAAGCATTTTACTATTTATTCTTCATAACAACAATGTTGCCTCTTAATTTCAGATGTAGTCTTTTGCATCAATTAAACGCTTGGCTGCCTCAGTTGTTTCACTATTAGCTATCAGCTTCCTGTAGGCCTTTTTCAGAGAGTGGTACCAGCCAGAATGTAATGCGTTCAGTTCCACTGTGATTGTCTAGTGAACGTGACTGACTGCTCTTGCATAACATCTTCATTACCTGAAAATGAGCTTTTTGGAGAGTTCTCAGCAGCAGCGGATAACATCCAGATGTTTTTCCACCGGCCTGCATCTGCACAGGCCCACGGGAGCGCACTTCACTGCTATACACTGCATGCTAGCATCAGCATTTTTCATCCTGAATTAGGATTTCACATGCTACACAGGAAAACAACGAAAAAACTCAATTTATTTATGCCACACCCTTTCATTAAGATGAAGTATGCATATTGAAGTAAGCATAAGTAAGCAGATGAAGTGCGCTGTTGTTGGAAGAAAACCTCATATCTCCAAAGTGCGATAACTTTACTGGGGAAGGAAAAAAAAAACTACATTACTTTTAATGTAAGTCAATGGAACCAGACTTTTTTTCCAAAGGCAAGATTATGTCAAAAATGTTCAAATTATGTCAAAAACTGAAAAATGACAAAAATGGAGATACAATTTTTCGACAGCAGCGATATACAAGTTTTGTTAACTCAATAATTGTAATAAGAGTAGTAATAAGTGTAGTAATTGTAGTAAGAGGCATTCTGGCCTAATCTGTTTGACAGAAGCCACAATTTACATCATTTTCAAGTTTTGTCCTTCAGTGTCCTGTCTCTACAATACTCAGCATGCATTATGTAAATACACTGTACAACCTTTGGGAATCCTTGGTGTCAATCAATCCTGACTGCTAACCTATACGCTAAAAAATACAACCAAGCTAACATTAGTGTAACAAAAGGGCGAAGAAAACAGCAATTCCATCTGTTTATTATGTCCTTTGTCTTTTTTTATTCAATACAAAATGGACACCAGATCTGAGGTCTTAGAAAAGAAGTCAAACTGAAGTGAGGTATCTACACAGCCAGTTAGCTACCTTGCTAATTTTACCTTGCTTTCAGCTTGTCGTCCTCCTCATTTGACAAGTCATTTCTATCGTTTCTCTCATTTGTACTGATGATAAAATTAACATTGTACTGTTATTTCTTTCATTTTGAGTGCAGTGTGATGTCAACATTTTCAGTTTGTAAGTCAAAGAACCTGTGACTTCATTGTTAGTTCATTTTTGCATGTAAAACTATACCTTTTTGTTGTCAAATGTTGTGTATTGTGTTCCAATGCTGTAATAATGTAATACTTGGCATGTAACAGCTACTTATTTGACTGTCATGCTGTCATTTGACAGAGGACTCTGACTTTAAATGGAAAACTGAGAAGATCTAAAACGCCTTAAACGAACTCGTCAAGACAAGGTTCACTCTCACCGTGGTCTGTGGCCAGCCGTCCTTACATGCTCTCCTGCAGGCAGCATCATCCTCCTCTAGCATGGTTTCTTATGTAATCGACTTGTTTCCTTGAGTGAAATCATTACTTTTGAATGAGGACGGGGGCACTTGAAAGGCTAGGGCTGCTCGAGACACCCTGTCTCTCCCTCTCTCTCTCTCTCTCTCTTTCTTTCACCCACTTCTCTCCCCCATTTCCCGTTGACATTACTTTATTGTCCAGAAAGCCCAGGGCACCTGGCCAACACTTGTCCCATTGATTCTGCTGTGTTGGTTACTTCCTGATGCTCTGCACTCTTCACCATATGATTACTGTATGGGTTCAAGCTCAGGGGCCTTTTAACCTCTATGAATGGGACATCTATGAAGAGGACTGTTTTGTAATTACTATATACAGAGCTTTTGGCCTGGGAATACTAACAGTGTATGCATTATTTTTGCTGTTTATTGTGATGCAGATCAAGGAAGCTGACACTTTATATCCTTGCTGTAACAAAATCTTGTATCTTTTAAATGGTTACTTTACAGGAGTATCCTTGTACTTGATTAGTCTTATTCATCCAGCAGATTCAAATAATTATATATGATGTACATATTGTTGCTGTGGAATAAATCTTTGCCCCATGACATTCTATTATATAAATTTCAAGATATATGGAGCAACAAAAATGCTCCAAAAGTAATTGTAAACAAATCATGCTCTACTAACTTCCATTCAAAGTTATGAACATTGTAAAGTTATAATTTTGAATATACACTCTAATAAAGGTAGTAAACTGTCTCTAGGGCAGTACCCCTCTTGTCACTGGGGTGGGACCCTCAAGGGTACATCTCAGTACCTTTAGTCAGAGAACATTATTGTGCTATAATCCACTGAAAATATATTTTCTAAGTTGTATTGACTCCACACAACCCGTCTCGTCTCCAGGCTTTTTATTTTATTGCTCTGTTTTAAAACATTCGGTTATGAAAAGATACAAATACATACTTTTCACCTGGAAAAACTTATTTAAGGTACACAATTGGACCTTAAAACCACTGTTGTACCTTTGTGGGTACATTTATATTGTTTGTACCTTGATGAACGAAAAATGTACCTGCACAGAACCTTTATTTCTAGCAGTGTACAAGGTGGGAGCTCAGATACCAGAAGAAGAGGGGGACACTGTTAATATTCAAATGGATTTTATTGCGTACATCTTCTATGTACGTTTACAGTTCATACATATATACATTATTTTAGATGTATAATATACTCTCTATCAATTACATTTGTTAATTTACTGTATTTCACACACTGTACATATTAAGCCACACATGTAATTCATCACCCAGTCATGTTAAGAGCACAAGACAGAAGACACCTGTACAGAACGCCCATTTAACTTTAAGGTCTCTGTTGTATTTTGCACAATACGAGTGATGACTAATGGTTCAGTACAGAAGCAGGACGAAACACAATGCATACGGAGCTTCTCACAGCTCATAGTGAATGAATGATAAAAGACTGCACAGTGTTTACATGGTACAAATGGGCAAGGCTACACTGTAGACCAATACCCACACATACATACAGGATGAAAGCACACAGGACTGAAGACGGGTGGATATTGTGTGTATCGTCTTGGGGGATTTCATTTTCTTTCAGAAATGCACTAGTGTTTTGGTCATGCTCCGTCTACTGGCAGCACATTCGTAAAGTTACTCCACAGAAGGATAAAGCAGTTAGATAGATACAATACTGCTTACGTTACGCTATAGCTTATGTCATACTGTTTTGGGGTTGTTTGAGTCTACATACTGAAAAAAAAAACTGGGAGGGGAGTAGTTTAATGAGCTTTGCCAGAGTGAAGCTTTGACTACTCACTGACCACATATGGCATACATGATTTGCACACAAAGCAAGACTGTATAGCAATTAGAGAGCATACAAAGGCGGTCTTTGCTGCACCATCCTCTGGAAAACCAACCATAAGCAATGACTGGACATTAATGTGCTCATTTTGGTCCTTCACACTGATTTTATGATAAGGCATTTTAAGTTGGACTATGAGGGCCAGTTATAGACATCCAGAGTAAATGTGGGGTGTATTGCCTTGCACATAGTTTAACACGGAGTCATTCCAGAATACAATCCCAGAAGACTTACATTCAGTACATTCATATACTGTTTACTTCAGTCAGTTTGTCAAACTCGGTCATTAATGTTGCTATATAAGCTATCAAAGCTGCTAGACTCTAACTTTCAATCCGCAGGATGTAAGTCATCTAAGTCATCTAAAGAACATCACCATCAAAACTAGTTCTATCTATGTTTTTAGAAGTTAGCTGTTTGCATTCCATTATGAGATCTTAATGAGATCAATGTGACATGAAATATGTAAGGCACCATTCATATATATATAAATGTATATATGAATAACTGAACATGAATATTCATATATATGATAAAACATGCATTATTGCTCACCATACAGAACTATGAACCTGCAAGTTTCTACCTATAAATATAGTCTAAATGTCTAACCACGTTCTGCCTGTCCTCAACATCATTCCCCATAGTAGCTTCCAGAAGTGCTGTGGTGATCAACAGTGTATGGCAATGAATTGGACATTTTATATTACATTACATTACATGCCCTGAATCTAACTTTCGAGTAACAAGATGGCAAGAAAATGAATGTTTCAAACGTGTACAGTTCTACAGATTCTATAACAGCATTGCACATTGTAGGCCAAAGCAGATATTCTGGTTAAATCTCTCCATACATGCTTTATGCAGCCAACATCATTGCACAACTCCAACAAGCCATATGATTTATTTGCTGCAATTCCACATCCATTAAAATACAAATGGAAGAACGTTTGCTGTGCAAATTCCTCAGATAGCAATGTGCGTACAATGTGTAATAAGTGCCCCACTTAAAAGGCACATTATATATATAGTGTATAGATGGTCAGTATGTGCTAGCCAGGCTGAAATCAAAGCCGCAGTCCACCTTGAAGTTCGTGCATTCACTTGCATTCTCTCTAAAGCTCTAAAGTTTTTTGCTGCTTGCAGTCACAGGGGTATACTTATGTGATGAGTTCTGCAAAATTGAAAGTGACATCGCGTACCCCAGGACAAAAACATTAATGCTGGCTTCATCCTAAATCACCAGGGATACGGGGACCCAGGGGTAGACTGACGACAAGAACACCTGCTTACTTTCCGCAAGTGGGTCAGTTGCTAGCTGGTGGAAAGCTATGCTGCATCACTGTTGGCTAATCCCATTTAGTGGTGGTTAAATATATGCATCCCTTAAGAGTGTTTTAACACAATTGGAAGGGTGTGAGCATAGCGCAATGGGGGCTAACTGTGGCTTTTTCAAGATATGCTTTGATAATGTATGTTTGTGGGCTCCAGTCATCAATAATGCTTTGCTATAAAAACTCTGGAGAATCTCAAACAGGTGCTCATACAGGCCTCTGCACATGATACTTTCCTTTACAACATACATCAGACATTCTTATCAAGAGAGACAGTCGAATCATGTTTCAGAGAAAAGTAGATGTTGTGTTAAGGGTCTCTTCCAAGGCAGTCTAAAATACTCCCATTGTTACCCGAGCAGGGAATTGAACCCCAGCTCATGAGACATTAACCACTATCGAGTCTGCTTGCAAGAGAATATTGAGTTAAAACTTTAAGAGATCAACACTGCTGTGTCTTTTAAAATAACGAAAAGCTTGGTGACAGGCTAGAGAGCACCCAAGAGCAACGAAGCTCACAGAACCCAAGGCGAAACCAATAGCGCTATTCTTGAGATGTGACTCCATTTTTACCTCACCTAAACAAATCTTAACGATAGTGGATGCAATATATAATACACCAACTAAGAGGGCACAGGTGCAGTTAGACCTATCTGTGCATTTGCTGAATTATAGGTGACAAATATGCACAGCTTTACTGCAATTATTTAATGAATAGAGCAGAACATGTGCTTAGAAATCTAGTTCATCACTGTATATGGTGAAACATGATGAAACCCATAGCAAATAAATGATCACGTTAAATCTAGAGGGGAGATAATGTTAAATCAATATGAGCAATAATTAGCATCATTTATTAAAGTATTTAAAGTACTTTCTATTTCTAAACAGAAAGCAAACAAATGGCACAATTTGTACTGCTGTGATTTGAATGTAATGTGCAAAATATAATGAGGCGAGGTGTACATTTGCACAGTCATGCACCAACATGTTAGCCGCATACACATCTCACATTCTCGCATTCTCCCATACAATAACTCCTCTTAACAGGTATTCTTCTACACAGAAAACAACAATCAACATCTTGTACACCTGAAATTTTAGAACAATGACAAACAAGTATTTATTTATCAAAAATAGCCCACAAATGAAAGTAAAATTAACAAATGAAACAGAAAAAAGAAGAACATTTACAGAGAAAACAAAGCAAATGCATCTTGCTTCCTCCAGGAAGTGCTCAAAGTGTAAGTGACTGAAATGCATGGCTTTCTACACTATTGCTTTTCTCACACAAATAGTCCCATTGATTCTTGTTTGTTAACGCCGTGTGGTGGTGTGATCCATTAATGGAGCTGAAGGTGGATTATGAACATGGAAAAGAAATAAGCATTTCCACTCTGTTTCTGAAAAATAGTAACGCATTGAATTTATGTGATTTAAACGTTTACACCACTTCCACATGAATAGAACATATTACATCAGCACAATTATTGCCTAAAGTAAGTAAACTGAAAGAAGACATTGTGCTGATGTAATTGTGCCGATGAGTCATGTAAATTTAATGTATCACTTTTTCAGGATATTCAGACACTATTTGCTCAAAGATGTAGGTTTCTAAATACACTGGCTATGGGATAATTATGACATCTTATGACTTTTTGGATGGTGTGGACAGTATTGTTACAAAATCAGTACCCTGTTAGTCAAGGTCGGATATTAAAGGGCCCACATTTTTCTTGTATTTCTTGATGTCCACTTGTAGTGTTTGTGTGGTTTTACATACCAGAACAGTCAAAACCAAAAATGTGACCATTTTCCAACCTCTTGATTTTGCTCTCATTATTGTATTTTTCAAAAATTCTGCATAATTCACTTGTTGCAGTATAAACAAAGTCACTCTGAGTGGTTTGATAAGAAATGGTTAATTAAAGAAAAACATATCAATTCAGATTTTCCTAACAGTATTGGTGATGGGAACCAGGTGTCGCGATGCAAATATAGCCATTTTATTTATTATCCAAAACATTTAGTGACTCTACATATGAAGACTGTATAATGTTAATAAAGGTAAAACTGTGTAAAATCCATGAAAATATGTTTTCTTTGGGGACCACTTTGCCTTATAACACCCTGTATGTTTTTAATTCTATCTCAACACTATCATAAATCAATGTCTCAGGCATCAGGAAACAGAAATATTTATGTAGTAACTTTCCGTAATGTAGCTTTCAAAGGCAAAAGATGCTTCAGATGTCTGGAGCCTTTCACCGCAACTGTGTATAATTCTGATTTTCACATCAAACCACTCTGAATGTATATATCTTGATTATTTTGTTGATGATTTAATGCAGAAAATCAAAAAAAAATGTAAAATACTTTTTAAGACTGATATGTGTAAATGAGCACTGTTCTTATTGGCCACCTTATATTGTGTCTCACTCAGAAAGCGGTCTGGGCTAAAACTCTCCTAATAACTTCAACATAAATGGATGTGGGCTAAACTGCTGTGGGCTAAATAGGCAGATATATGTAAATGCACTGGTTTTCGTGACATCACAAAAAAGTTTTAGCTTAATTTCCATATATGACTTGGGGGTGAAAGGTATGTCTTGAAACTGTAACAATGTTTTCATACACTACATCAAGTTTCAATGATATGGGCCCTTATATATGTATAGATCTTGCTTTACTGCACAAACCAACATGTCAATGGGCTTCAGCTAGACTAACGCGTACAGATACAGCAGGCCTCAAGAATGGACAGTGAGGACAAGCGGGTCAAACTATTTTGAGGAACATGACATATAAGTTCATCTGACTCCATGGCAGGGTAAATGCACTGGTTTAATGACGGCACAGACAGTTACATGATTGATGCAGCGGTACTGTTTCCCAGGGTGAAGCTTCTGGAAAAAATGAAGATCATGACATTGAGGTAGATGCTCTTTTTTTTTTTTTTAAACGACAGGTGATACAGCATTCTGATCCAAATGTTATTTCAAACTATATGAACAATCACAATTAGAAAAAAAGGAATAAAGAAACAAAGGTGAAGTCAAAGACCCTGCAGCTTTTGCCCTGCACTACACTTTGTTTGAGGAGAAAAGGGGTGTGAGGCTTTCTACACTGCCGTTATTCTACAGTTCATCTGTTCTTTCAGTTGCTGTTCCAACAAGGCAAAATAAGTCACGAGAAAGAAGAAAATCATTTAGCAAAAATGCTTTAAAAAAATAACCTGTCACCAGTTTAACCGATTTCTTTTCATATAAAACATATGATACCTTAAAAAAATAGAGATTTAACAATGTTAACCCTTTTTTATCTACGCTGTCATCATTGTTCCCATATTACTTGACGAGTACACTTGAAGCTGTTTCGAGACGTTGGTTAACAAAGAGTGAAAATGAAGATTTCTTTTTGTGTTGTTGTTGTCATTATGTCTGATTGCATGCTCTGTACTTCCAGGCATGCAATATGATTTGGTATAGCACATGATATGCAATGTTCATCTGTGACATATTCTTGATGTGTACCTGTGAGAACATACATGCACACGCATACACACACACACACACGCACACACACTCCTGTCATTATAGCATGTTGTTTCCTAAAAGACATCAAGAACACGTTTAGTGTCTCATAAAGCATATATGTAGATGATCTGTGATTCAAGTAAATTCTCCTCTACCTCAGTTCAGCATGTCTCTAAGCCACAGTTTGTCCTCAGCCTGTCTGTCACGTTGTCCAAGATGTGCCGTTCAGTTAGACTCCACGTTTGAAAAGCATCCCTTTATCGAGATCCTTTGAGGCGTTGTCCAAGAAAAGAACGTTTGTGGTCCTCCCTATGTTACGTCTGAACATTGTAACGTCCGTGCTCACTTTATTTCAGTCGCTTTCATTTGAAGTGTGAGATTGCTGCCTGGTCTGTTTGACCTCTGAGTCCATGGAGTGGTGAGGCGACTCGTGGTTCTCATTTTTCTTGCTGTTTTTCTGTTGATCCAGAAATCTGTGCCAGGGATCGTCCCTCTGCTCCTGAAATCCAAAATAAAACAGCTATAGTCCAACTTTCATCACAGTCTTTAAACATCAGTCCCACCTAAGTGAGACTTATAAATGTTCTACCCTGAATGCAAGTGACCTATCCATGTCCCGTGTTCTGTAAGGTGAAGTTTCACTGAACATTGGCAAAAACCTCAATTCAATTTACTACATAATGCTGAGTTTACAGTTTACAATGCTATGGCACTGAGTAGGACTATTTGCTGTAACTAAACAAAACTAGTAAGGTTTGAACCACCATGCTAACGTTGATTAGCAAGAATTAGAATCAAGCTAGCTCTTATGCGGCCCAAAGCTGGAACCAGCTGCCAGATGATCTCAGTAATGCCCCAAATTTGGTCATCTTTAACAAAAGACACTTCAAAAGACACATTTTTTTTCTTTTTTTTTCTTTTTTACTTAATTTTACTTATAAAATCAACAAAACATGTCATTTGACCAGGGGCACCCAATCACCTGTACAAAAGAACCTACATTGTGACCTTTCGCACATGAAATCAATATCGTTTGAAATAAATTACGTACTCTAAACTGAGTCATTTTTGTGGTTTTTGGGCTAGTGCTAACAGTGACAATGGAGAGTAATGTACATTTTTAGATGTGTCAGATGGCAGGTTTTATACAATACAAAAAGCCCATAAGAGGTCCAACTACATTATGCCACTGGTTAGGCCAATAAGGTATTCATAACAACATGAGTAACATCACCTGGAATCACAAACAGGGACATTATTACCTCTTTAAATCATGCTTCTCAACCACTAAATACATCTATTGGCCAGATGACAGAAGACACATTTGTTGGAATAATCATGTGTAGTTACACCTCTCCTGGCTCTGATAACTGACACACTGGTGCACTGCTGTATGTGGCTCCAGCAATGAAAAACTCCTGAAATTATTTTAACATATAGAAGGACCACGATGCAAATAGATCTGAATGTTAGACATATAGGAATATACAGTACAAGGGTCATTTCCTACATTTTTCATCATAACGTCTGCTTATGATCTTGGTGTGGTAACAGACGTAACTCATTTGTACATGACCATTTTCCAACATCTCTTTATGACTTAGAAGTAAGGCCACTGCACACTGGACACCTCACGGTGCATCATGTGCAGCAACCAAAATTTTTGAAACCACTGCTTGTAATGAACGTATGAACACCAGTGACAACTCAGCACTGTTCAAATTCTGTTTTTTACCATTTTACCATTACTATGTTTAATTAAAGTCACATCAAGACCACAGAAAGCAACAGTAGATGATACATGACTTGACAGGCAGTCAGTCTTTTACATAAACAGATAAATGCTTGGTAAGTCACTTCAGCTAACGTTACTAGTCTTTTTTTTCACCTCATGTATTTTAACACTGAGTTAGTGAAGAGGTAGTAAACTGATACCAAATGTAATAAATTATGTTGAAAGTTTAATTTCATTAAATTTATATGAGGAGAGTGTAACTAGATGTTTATTGGCACTCTTGCTGTGTATTATAGCAGTGCTCCATACTGTATCTGCTACATGATACTACATGATGCTGTGTGGCAGAATAGTGCAACATGTCTTGTGTACGGTGGCCTTTAATTAGGCTACTGAAGACTGATATGTAAATGATCTCTGATCTGATTGGGTGTCCCTGTATTGTGTCTCATTCAAAAAAAGCAGTCCTAGCTGAAACCTAGTCTTTATAACTTTGTTGTGAACAGGTGGAGCTAAACTGCTGTAAGTGGAATAGGTGTATATATGTAAATGTGCTGTTTGTTTAATGACATCATAAACACAATGAACTTAAAACGGGTTATTTGTGTGGCTTAGTTTCCATATATGGACCACATTTTTACAAAAAGTTCAATTTTTACACACATGAAACTATTAGTTCAAAAAAAAGAGGGATAGTTTTCAATGATATGAGCTCTTTAAACTGTACTATGGTGCCTGTCTGCTATATGTGGCGAGCTGAAACATTATCTTGCTTTTGAGAAAAATGATAGCTTTTATGCTAAAATGTAAATACATTCTTAAGGTTTATTTAATATTCATATCATGCACGCCAGCTATCGCCTGCACATGACAACAATGTTACAGGTGTAAGCACAGTTTTATCGCCAGCAGAACAATGTCCTCATAAATATTACAGTGAGGCTTTTTTCTGTCCCAAGCAAACAGGATGTGGATTTTTAAACGCTGCTATTCCGTAGAGGAGATCCACAATGCAACACTGACACAGATCTGTCAGGCAGAGTTAGCGACCTAGCACGCTACAAAATGTTCCCATTGCTCTGGCAATGAGCAAGAGTGAGAGGCTGTGCTGCCACGACGTGAAGCCATTTTCTACAGCCTTCTCCTCAGGCAGTGACCACAGCCAAATACTGTAGAAGTACATGCTGCATCAACACTATAACAATGCTGCATTCACACTAACCAGCTCAATGATGAACTTACTTTGAAATATTTGGTTATAAAGTCCCTCATTCTTTTTGCTCACTCACTATCCTGTACATGCACAATGGTGCAGAGGAATCGCCTTTCTCAGCCCTCTATTCTGCAGACACAAGCAATGTCTAACCTCATCTATGGGCATAGATGTCTAAATGGAGAAAAATCAGTCAAGCAAACTAGTTATATCAAAACTTCTATTTTAAGCTCTGTTTTGCACCATTGCACCAATCTTTCAGTTGCTGTGTCATGACTAAATAGTCCAAATTAATTGGCAGTGTCTATTTATACTAAGTGAAAACACTATTAACCACACAGCCTGGCTATTGGCACTCATGTGACTATAGCACACCAAAATGCTTATTTCTGCTACCATTGTTTATCTTCCATGAACAAAAACGAGGCAGCATTGGGAGAAGTTGCTAAAGGTTATACAGACTCATCTCGGACAGTAGACTGATGCTGGTTGCCATAGCCTAGTGGATAACACCACCGCCCTGCACATTGAGACTGTGGTTGATTTCCTGCCTGGGTTAAAGTGGAATTTGCACACTATTTGGGTCACACTTTCTTTAGATGGTCCCCTATAGATGATGTACAGATGCTCAGATTATTAACGAACTTTCTGGTGATAGTCGATTATCAACAACATTATGGTTAGGGTTAGAGTTAGGAGTATGTGTAGGTTTTGCACTGAGGGTAGGGTTAGGTTTATGATTAGGGATAGATTTGATAGAATCTTTCACATACAACTTCAAGTTCAGTTGGATTTAAGATATTTAGATGAATGTTAAAGAAAGACAGAGCATCTACAAAACATCTACAGTAGACCATTCAAATAAAGTGTTAACCTTTGTTTCTCACACTTCCAAATGATGTTTTGTCCATTTTTACTGTCTTAAATAAATTAAAAATAAAAAATAGTGATAATAACCACCTGATGAGAGAGAGAGTTGTTGGTATATATGACCTCAAGGTTTAAAAAAAGCTGAATTTTACTGCTGAAATACGGGCTAATACTACTGAATCAGTATCAAGAAGTAGAATAAAATAGCGCGGAATTATGTACTGTGAAATTATCATGATGTTGAAGTGCAAACAGTAAAATCATGACATTAAAATTCAAAGCAACATCATTCTATTTAAATGTAATGTAATTAGCATCTGTCAAAATTATTTTAGAATAAGGTATAATTACAATAAAGTACATTACAGTCAGAAATGTTTTTTCCCTTCTTTTAAAAAGTTAACAACATCTGAACTTTTATTTGATTTTGAGGCAGCTGTTTTAGAACTGTTCCTACTGGCTAGTTTCTTGGTTTTTAAATATCATTTAAATAGCATTTGCTATTTTTTAATTTTACAGAGTAATGTGACAATAGGTAACATAAAACATTTGCAGGACATAAAATAGTCATTTGGAATGGATTACTTCTCCAACACTGGCTCAACCATATAACCAAAGCATGCATCAGTACACATATCAATTAAAATATGAATTTAATATTTTAATCCAAACTATATGGAAAATGCCTCAAGTTATCAGATGAAATTGCTAATTATGTACCAACATAACAAGGGTCACCACTGCCGCTGTGCTCCATGTTGCCGCCATGTGTTGTAACACAATACAACGCCACAAATGCCATACATGAGTCCACCATTATGCAGCCAGTGTTATTCTCAATTCGTCACCATGACAGCAGAAAAAACAAAGCAATTCCCGTGTCTATGGAAATATAGCTGACGGACGAGGGGCGTTAAGGGGTCAGTAGGGGTTAAGTGTAGCACATTTGGATCTCACATGATGGCAATTCATCATCTGTAAGTGCCTTAAGTCCACGGATTATGAAGGAATCAATGCATCCACTGCTTGAAATAACCTGCCCTTTTGGCAAAGTGAACTTGTTGGTCATGTTAAGTAGTAGAGCTGTGTTGTATGGGGGAAAGGGAAAAAGTATGCATTTGGTGTTAGTACATTGTGACTCCACTCATCAACTGATTCAGGCCAAACTCTTAGTAACAAATCACTTGCAGATGCAATGTACTACATAATGCAGCTGAATAGCACGGCTTTTGCCTTTATGACATTTTTAACTTTGCACTAGAACTAAATTATGCTGTTTTTATACTGCTAATATACTGATAATAAATGACAAAAGTATATAATTGCTGTTGTAAGTTTATAGGAGAAGGAATGATACATTCTTAATTCCAATGTATGTTAATGTATCAGATCTTACTTTAAGTATTTCAGAATTTTGAGCCATTTCAGTCAAAAATGAACTGTGATATTAGGAATCATATTGATATTGGCAATCGGCAGATATTGCCAGACAGATGTTTAAATTTGAATGATAGTTCAAGCCGATATTTGATGGTGTATTTATTGTCCTCTGGAAGAGTAGAACGGTTAGCCAACCCTGCACTGCTGTACTAAAATGCCTGCATTTTATTGTAACCCTGCACAAATAAACATTATATTTCTCCATAATGCTATCCAGGTAGTAATCCCAATTTCTATATTT